AGCCAGTGTAGGAGCCTGGCCTGAGCTTAATTTTCACCMCAGAAGCAGAAGTTCTAGCCTGAGGGCAGGAGGCAAAATTGGTCTTTGTGGGAGTGGAAGGGGCCATACCAAGGAGGAGGTGACAAATCAGAGAAAATAAGTGCACAGTTAAAGGTGCTTTTCTCTTCTGCCCTCCTACCTCACAACACAGTCAGTATTATGTGGATAGCARTATCTCAAGTGGAATGCAATGAGTTTTGTTTTCTTAGCTTTACAGGCTATTAATCTATAGCCCTTTACAGCTGCCGTAGTAACAGATGTGGTTCCTGGTTAAGATTGTTCCAGGTATTGAAAGTCATTATGTTTTGGATGGGGAAATAGTTTTTGTAAACTTCTGCTCTTACATCTTTGACCCTAGGGTACTGAAGAAGTGCAGTAAGTTTATTTAAGCCTGTATCAAGCTCTGAGGGTGGAGACAGAAGGAAACTGAACTAATAAAAAACTTCACAGAACTAAACTCTTTCTATAGAAATTAAATGTTAGGGACTGCCTACAACAAAGTGCCCCATGTGTTTCTTTAACACATACGTTTGCTTCAGCTTGTGTGGGGATAAAAAAGGGCTTTACAGACCTGTGGTGTAACATTTACACAGCCTTCTGCAATACCTTTACTTTTCAAAGCAAAGGGGATCAGATGACAGAGTTTCTCAATTTACATCAGTGAAGGCAATTGTGATTTCTCCTCTGCCTGGAAATAAAAACAAGAGATTTGATGGAGAGCACAGTCCTTGGAGACACTGAAGCCTGTGCAATGTGAAAGCAGCCATTTAGCATGAGAAAACGAGCTTGTGAGATATAACATTACTTATATCTACTGCAGCAGTGATGTAGAAAACAAAATCTATGTATTTCCCAAAGTTTGTGCTCTGCTTAGTCTGGATGGAGAGAATGAGGTATCTCACAAAACATCCAGCACCCAGAAGGGAGTCTCAGTCTAATAAGAGCAGGTAACTTGATGGGCTTTCGACTGCAGGCAGGTAAAAGCTAGATGAGAGCTGTGAAAAATCGAGGTATGTGTCAGAACTGTGACCTGGAACCTAGCAAGTCACAGCGATGTGCGACGGTGATGTTGAAAACAGCCGAGGGTTACCGGCTTGTAGCGAGCAGGTGCTTATGCCTCAGAGTGGTGCGGTTTTCTATKCTGGGTTTGCTGGGCCGGAGTTGGTTGCATGTCTCTGGGTGTCACATTGCAGGGGACATGATGCCGGCAACCTGTTCTGGCACCCGGGCAGTGCTCAGGACAGGGGCCCGTGCATCCCCAGGCCCGGGTCTCGGTGCTCGCGCGCACAGCCCGCACACTGCACTGGCACAGCTCGAGCCATGTGCAGCTGGTGGCGCTCCGAGTCTGCCAAAGGGGCAGGACATTGTCTCCTATGCCGGAGTTTGGAGCTGTAAATAAACGTGTGCCCGTCTCTAAGGAGGCAGCATGCAGGGGGTTAGCAGCATAACATTTAGCTTTTCAAATTTTGGATTTTTGTCACAAGACTTTAATTATGTTTACAAAAGTCCCTCATTCTAAGTGCTATTTTGCCCTCCCATTCACTAAAACATCTCTGTTAAACAGCTGACATATAGTTTTAATAGTTAGGCTCACAGTCTACAGTTTTCGCTGTTTAGTAATGGACTTCATATTTCCCTTGGAAATAAAAAAAAATACTGTATTCTCCTCAGGGACTAATAGTAAATATGTTCAAATAACAATAGTTTTAGACAAGCCTGGTTGCACAGCAATACAACGCTGAGAGCAAAACTCTTTCTTGAGTAACCATTAACATATATTGTTATGAATAATGAAGAGTTTTGCTTACAAAACATAGTGCTATTAAAAGTGGAGATGAGGTGATGTGATGGGTCAGTATTTCTTTCACCTATCAACTTCTATTTTACCCTAGATGCCTCTTAAAAAAATCCTCTGTAATCATTTGTTATTGCTTTGCTAGGCTCAGTAACCTCACAACTGCAGCAATCATCCACCACTCTGGAATATTACTTTTGAATTTACATCAGCTCATCAGCTCTTCAGAATTTACAACAGTTGTCTTCACTGCTACTTGAAAATTAATTCATATTATAGTTTATGTGTTTTCACATTTTCACTGAGCAAAGGAATGCTCGAGAGAGAATATTAATCTGTAATTTTATTTTAAGCAATTTTCTATGTTCTCATTATTTTATTACTACCTATGTTTTTTTGAAACATATCTAAGTCCATTTAAGTAAGCCAGAAGAACCCCAGATGATGTAGTACCACATCCTGCAACTTCTGCTTTGTAATAAATACTATTTCAGTCAAGAAACTGCCCTCTTACTTTCAAAAGGATCACTCAGTGAAGTAGTTGCTAGTGAGCATGAATAAGAACAACAGAATTTGGCTTACAACCTTTTACTTCCACACAACATTASAGAATCACAGAACCTAGGAATGGATGAAGTTGGAAGGGACCTCTAGAGATCATCCAGTCCAACTCGCTGCTCCAGCAGGGACACCCAGAGCTCGGGGCACAGGGCGGCATCCAGGCGGGTTTTGAAGACCTCCAGAGAAGGAGACTCCACAGCCTCCCTGGGCAGCCTATGCCAGGGCTCTGTCACCCTCACAGGGAAGAAGTTACTCCTCACAGGGAGATGGAACCGCCTGTGTTTCAACTTATACCCAATGCCCCTTGTCCTGTTGCTGGCCAACACTGAGAAGAATTTGGCACCACTGAAAGAGAACATCTTGAAGGATAGGTCACCAATGTGTGTAAGGAGTCAATTTGCAGTACATTTTTGTATGTGATCTCTTATAGCTATATGATGAACCTGAAAGGCCAGCAGACTCTTATTAGGGGATTTAAACAATTTCCARGAATGGAAAATGTTGGATCAGGGATTGTAAATCATCAATAAGTTGTTCATGTGTGAAATGGAAAGCCATCCTGAGGTCAGCTTCCAATAAATTCATCTTGAGCTCAAGTGATCCAGAAGCACCTGGCTAAGCCCACTAATTTTCTGATTGACTGCTCTGACCTCAGAAAAAGAAAGGGCTATCAGACAATAATGACTTAATCTGAAGTTTCATAGACTTCTGCTTTTTCAAATAAGGAAAACAGTGCTGTAGCAAATGTACTGGTGAAAGGGCAGTGCGGCCCAAACTGTTCTGCAGGGAGGAAGGTGCTCTACAAGGAACACACAACCTTCTGGATCCTATGAGTTGCCTGCCAAGATCTTCAGATAGGCAGATTCTCCTACCAGGCAGGAGAGCCAAGAGATAGCAGAGTTTGAAGAGTGACACAGTTGGTAGTGTTTTCATAGGCTTTCCACCTCTTCACTGAAGAATGGAGTTGGTTCACCAGGTCAGTCAGTAATATTGGCTTCAGCTGCTTCTACTTGCTTGTTGCTCCTCATCCCTAGTGGCAACCCCTGGGCAGTGCTGCTTGCTCGATATGACCTACAGACAGAGGTTGCCCATTTTRTCTGCCTTATGAGCTAAAAAGGATTAAAAGGGTATATCAAATAGCATTTGAGAGCTGTGATTCTTTTGATTTATCTACTTTTAAGCTATACTTTTTGCTGAGTCATTGAGAACTCTTTTTCCCAAATGTTTGATATACCTTTGAGCCATTTTCCCAATGTTATATGTTCTAAGGCCATAATTTCTTACTTGCCCAATATGCATTTCCTGAGGGAAAATACTAATGCTGCGTCACCTATTGATTCTATATTGACTTTATATTGTCAGTATTACAATCCTAATTTGATAATACTTCTATAATAAATTGCTCTGAGATGAAATCTGGTACCCTCTTTATAGAGGGCTATGCAAGCTTTATAAGAGATGTTTACAAGTGTCCAAAAAGACAGTGTCTTACTTTTAATAACCTTTATTTGCTTATTTCAGTACTTAGAAAAAAAGAGTAGGTGGCTTGATAAAAAGAGTAGGTGACTGAAAAAGTCTCCAAAAGATTTTAGTGGAAAGGAAAGAGAAAGGAGATATTGAGAAAACAGGATATTCTGAAATTATTACTGGGTATAGCAAAATCACAGAGAATATGGAAGGGGATCTTATCRGTGCATTTAAATATTTGAAGGGAGTGTGTCAAGGGGAATAAAATGGAACTTAAGTTCAATTTAAACATGGGTAAAATTTATTTACTGTGAGGATAAGAGAGTTCAAACACGGGTTGCTCAGAGAGGTTGTGGCGCCTCCATCCTAGGCGAGATTCAGAATCCAGCTAGATATGATCCTGGGCAGCCTGCTAAAGCACCTAGAGGTGACCTTTTTTGAGCAGAGCAGTTGGGCTAGATGATCGTTAAAGGTYGCTTCCAACCTCAATTATTCCATGACTCTCTGGACACTGGAACAGGTTTCCTACGGTGGTTGTGAGTTCTCCATCCTTGGAGATACTCAAAAACCATTTAGACACAGTCTTGGGCAACCTGCTCTAGTTGACCTTGCTTCAAGCAGGGGAGTTGGACTAGGTGATCTCCAGAGATCCCTTCAGACTTAGCTTTTCTGTGATTCTGTGATTTTGTAATGGCATAAGGCATCATAAATGATTTTGAGCAAAAAATATTTCTGAAGGCTGATAAGCTAATTATTAACTCATTGCAATGTCTTTAAATTTGTGCATTACTGTCACAGTAGCATTAGAGACTGATGTGAGCCAACAGGAATATAGCTTTTTGCCATGCTTCTTATGGATACCATTGCTGTTTTATTAAATAAGTTGATTTATTTAATCTCACTTAATCTGACTTAATTTTTACTAGAAAGATTTAATTCTCCCTAGTAGACTAGACTGTATATCAAATCAGCATCAAAATTTTCTGCCTTTTTCTCCTTCATGATTAGCATCCTGTCGCACTGACACCATGTGAATGACATGAGAGGAAAACATCATTCAAGAAAATAAGAGTAAAGAGTATAACCATTTTACTTAATTATATTGAAAACATTACTCAATCTGTTTTTCTCTTCTCAGTTAGTAGCATCCATCGTGTTTATCAGCTTTGGCGTGGTAGCAGCGTTCTGTTGTGCAATAGTTGATGGAGTGTTTGCAGCACGGCATATAGTAAGTACAGCTATTTTCTGTCATCTTTCATTTTTGATTACTTGTTGTTTCTAGCAGAAAGGCGTTTTCTTCTGGTTTAGCAGCTTTTTTTTTTTTTTTTTTTTATGGTTCTTCTTAGAGAAATGTCTTCTGGCAAATAAAATGACAGGAAAGCCCAACATGCCAATACCGAGAGATTTTGCCAACCACTTACCCACCTCTCAGAGAGCTCCAAATACTGAGGTGATGTAAAATGATGTAATGAGGGGCCTGCATAAATTAATACCTGCTTAGGAAAGGAAGAACACTTCAGCAGCCACCAGCCTTTATTTTATTTGCAGACAGGCTTTGTGAGCATAATCAGGATCCTGAATGCACCAAACAGTGAAGAAAACTGACAATGCCATTGCTGTCCTTAGCAGGGAAGTGGGTTGTGATAGAATGTCACACAAGAGCAGAGAGAGTGGGAGGCTTTGATTAGAGGTTGCATGAAAGGGCGCCTACCAAGTGACACAACCCAGACCTGACCATATACCTGCCATCAAAGGGTTGATCATGCACCACAGTAACTCCTGTTTCTAGTGTGTCCTTCAAACTCAAACACCTTTCCTCCCCAAACCTGTTACATYTTTGCTTCGAAAGGACATTTATGCTACTGCAGAGGCTGAATCCCAAACAGAGAGACAAGCATCAGCCCTTTCATATTTCAAGGTGTTCGCTTCATCAGTTTTCACTCTTTTGGCTTTATGTTCTTTTCACATACTTTATTTAGCTATTTTGAAACTATATTGCTACCTAAATCAAAGAACAGTATCCTATTCAAACATTATCATATGTATTTTTAACACTCTTAATAAAAAAAAAAAGAAAGAAAAATAAGATCTCATCCATACATTTATAGTCACCTCTTCTTTATCAAACCATAAATAGCTGCATGACCTTTTCTTTTCCTGTCACGGTATATCCTTAGTATGTGCTTATGGATATCATCTTATTCTATTCCTCCATCTAACAAGGAACTTCTTAATGAAATCAAGTTAAATAAAGATGTACATCACCTAATTTCTCTAATAGACATATCTGGGGAAGTCTGTAGGGGTGGTAGTGTAAGGACATCTCCAATTTGTCTCGTAATAAAGGTGAGACCTTATCAAAAGAAGGTGAGTCATGCAGATGATGCTGTCACTGCTGCTGTATTAGTAATTCAAGAGTTTTCCTCTACTTTATCTAGCTAATTTTCTTCAGAAGGAGCAGTAACAATTCAGTGAGTTCTTTCCCCCACAGATCTCAACCCCCCCACAGATCTCAACCAACTGTTTTCATTGCTTCCTGTGTTGTGCTGTTAGCACTTTGACTTTGGGGGAATATGTGATGGAGAATGGCACTAAATTGTCCTCCTCTCAAAGAAAGGCCATATATCTGACAGGTCAGAGTGCTTAGGTCTGCATTAAAACCTTAATGCTTTAATAAGGAGAACTTAGGTTGTGTTTGCTTTCATCTCTGCAGTATCAAGGTGCTGATACCAAGACCTCAGACCCATTCCTTCATGGAGGGGAACTGCTAGCTGAAGCCAACAAATACAACAGCCTCCTTCACCACAGTTCAGAATAAGAAATGTCTCCCATTTTTCATTTTATTTTTAACTTCATTTGAGCTGGGAGGGATGCTAAGACAAATGACAGCATTATAGTTTTTTTCTCAGTGTGTGCCTGCTGTTGAATGGAGATCATTATTATTGCACATTTTCTCCTGCTCTTATAAAACTTCAGACGGAATAATAAAATACTTTTTCTGTTCTGTTTTTTTTTCAAGAAGGCATAGAATTGACAAAATTTGTTCCTGGAATGGGATTTATTTCAAAAACGAGATATTTAAATTATTTAAGACTCATTTAAAAACACTTTGTTTAATAGAAAGCTCTGGAGCACAGCACTTAAAAACACTGAAGGAAAAGTAGTTTGATTTAAAATAGCACTAGTTTATCTAAAAAATAATGCAGATGTAATTTACTATGTTAAGTTAATTTTGGCATTGGTCCCTTCAGCTGCACTCTTCACCTTCAAGAAAAAAAAAAAAAAAAAAGAAGAATCAAATGAAACAATTCAAAGAATTGAATGTGCAGTGCTGTGATGATTTTTAGCTTTGTAGTTATCCCCAGGCAGAACCTAAGATAGCCAGCAACAAAAAGTCCACTCATGAGGTGAGGAAATCGTCTACAAGAACTTTCTGGGGAGGTCAGGAAGGTAGCTAAAACATGGGCAAACATTTTAAGCTGTGGAGACAAATTGCTTTGTATCATCTTTTTACATCCTTAACCAAGAATCAGAGAACATCAATACTGGCAGATGGACCAGTAACGTTTTCCTATAGTATGGGATAAAAAGAGAGTCTGACATATCTGAAAGTTCTGAGGGAAGCCCCGGGCTCACGGGAAGTCTCTGCTTGACTACAAGACCTGTTCTTYGGTCTTGATGCCTGGAATAGAATTCACACACAACATTAGGACAGATTTATGAGAAGAGACAACTACCAGCTAAATCAGAGCTAAAGAGCTAGGAGATATCAGGAATGAGAACATCAGAAGATGTATAGGTGAAACTGCAAYGTAGGACTCTTGCCCTTATCCTTTCTCTGGGCATTCCTTTGTATCTGTCTACTCTATAGTGATTCTTTAGGTAGCTGAAGGCAGCAAGAAGATCTCATCCTAGGTCTTCCCTTCTGCACATTGAACAAGTCTCTTTCCTTCAGTCTGTCCTAGTACATCATGTTCTACAGACTCCTGCTCATCTTAGTGGCCCTCCATTGGTCTTGCTGATGTCTTTCTTGCATTGGAGAGGGATTAAAATCTGTACTCAGATGTGGCCTTGTGAGTGTTCATCAGGGAGGAACAATCCCTTCCTCCAGTTTACAGGGTATGTTCTTGCTAATGGAGCCCAGTTGAAATACGAGCTAGACAACTGGCCTTCACTGCTGGAAGGGTCCTTTTCTAATTTATGTTCAGCAGGTTCACAAGCACTTCAGTATTTTTTCTTTTTTTTTTTTTTGCAGAGCTGCTACCTAAGTTGAACAATTGCATGGAGTTATTCCATCCCAGATGCAGGATTTTGCATTGACACTGAACAAAAACTAAAACAATACAGTCTCGATGGATTTAAATTCAAGTTCAGCTACATTTAGAGAGGCATTAGATTTCCCTTCTAAAATTCTATCACCAACAGAAAAGAGTAAGGAGGTTTAGATGGAGGCTAAATTTATTGCCATTTCAGGAACATTTTTGGATTTCTTTTAAGCATGACCTTAGCAGAATTTTCTAGAGTTTTTATAGAGATGAAGTCTTTGATAATGACCCTTTTGTACTTTATTGTTAATGACTGCTACACCCTCTTAGCTCAAGTTCTGTATAAGTGAAATTCATGGTCAGGCTGAACTTGCTTTAAAAGGAAGCGATTTTTAAGAGAGTCTGATTTTATGTGTTGCAATGAAGGGACAGCATAAATCTACATATTAGAACTGCGCTGCATATGCATTGTAGTGTCCTCTTGATATTTGAGCCCTGTTCTWCTGCCACGGAGAGCTATAAGATTTAATAAAAACTTTGACCAAGGGCTGTGTGACTTAAGTTCTTCCAAGATGTTCCTCTGCAGGAGGAACCATTATTTCAGAGTACATTATGCATTGTTTGGGGTTTTCAGAGGTCTATTATATAGATAAACCATAATCAAGTGTTTTCTTAAGTCTCCACAAGTAAGAAACTAGGAGGGAGGTGGTGAAATGCAAATGTTGTAAAAACTGATCCAGAGACAAGATAAAATGAATTTATCCATATTTTGCCTAAGATCAATGGAGACCTGTTGATCTTTACTAAAAAGCATGAATGCAAATAGTTGCTTTGTTTATGGAGATCTGGAGACTTTAGATTTTAATTTACAATAGTGAGTTCTCACAGCACTTAAAATGCACTAGAGTTGGAATAGAAATAGAGGCAAGTTCCACTCTTGAGCCCTCATTTTGCACTCTTTCTGACAGTATGTCTGTGTGCCAGCTTTACCTTTACTGCAAGGTGTCAAACTCTTCCACTTAAGTTATGAAAGCTCACACAGATGCTAGAGGGACACATGTATGAAGAAAGGAGAGGGTGCTGTGCAAAGGCACAGCTGGTTTGCCTGTCATGAAATCTGATCACACATCAAACTAGGGAGTTCTAAACTGTTTCTTTGATTCTCTTCCCCTTCTGCAAAACTCTCTGTCTCATCCATTTCATTTCATTTCATTTTCATCTGTTCTCGTTTCTTCTGCTTGACCGTGGGAGCTGTGAACTGCTGAAGCATTATCAGCTGTTTAATTCCCTGTAGCTTTGGGAATTTAGAAACTAAACTTGAAGTATTTGTCTTCTCTTCAGGCATGTTAAGTCAATATACTGTTTAGCAAGACTGGGATTATGTAAACTCACTTTCTGGGAAGGACAGAGATTTGATGTGAAAGCGAGTCTTCTTCTGGAGACTGCCGATACAAATTCACCTCTGGYTGGGAGAGCTCAAAAGCTGCCATACCATGTGATGGGAAAACGGAGAACATGCAGTGAACAAATAGCTACATTATGAAACTGCAGCTCCAACCTGTCCCAGCAAAAACTAACGTTTGAGTAGGTGTGGGGTTTAGTTCTTTAMGTTTTCTTAAAGGATTTAGACCAGGACTTTCTTGCCTTGTGACTGACASTTCTGCTTCAAATACTGCAAACACATCCCTTCTTCCCGTGGGCAGTTGCCTACACTTTTGAGGACAGGCAGTCTTGATCCCTCTGCTTTGAATTTATTGGCGATCACAGTGTGACAGTCCTGGTGTGGCTGCACACTCGTGCGGCTCACACGTGAGCTGCCTGGATCCACAGAGCCCCAGCTGGAACTGCTATGGGCCCTGAGCATTTATACATTTATACATTTACACATTTATACATCACGTTCCCTCTGGCCTCTGAACCACAGCTACAGACCCGCCCAGGGAGGTACGAGTTGTGTTTTTTT